GGAAGCAAGGCCCATGCAGGCTAGGAAAGTATACTACGCCATATATGCATCAGGGTGGGGTCAAACCCATCAGAATGTAGATATTGTATCCAAGGGGAAATGACCTTCAGGAATCCCCCATGACTGTCATTTATCATTGTTCCCAGCTTGGAGTGGTGGCTACTTTACAACACACACACCATGGGGTGCAAAAGTAGCCACCCTCCAGAAGGAAGGACAGTGTCAGCACCAATTCAGAGATGATTTGAGGATCTACAGCCAAGTGATACAAAAATAAGCTAGTTTTGTTAATAGTTAATGTACTTGAATGCATGTTTAAGATTTAACTCCTGAGTTTAGTGTCAGTTTAGAACTGTCTTTACTATTAAATACATTATCCATACTTAAAACATAAGGTATTTATATGTCATATAATGGTACCAGTTCACACCACTGCGATCCATTTTGTTCTGTTGCAGCGTGATCAAAAAAAAGGAAAGCTTGCTCTACTTTTTTCAGTGCAACACAACATAACAGAACAAAAACTGATGTAATTGCAACGGAGAAGAAAAAAAAATACATAGATGTTTGTCCACTCAGGACATGTTAATTAGAAATAAAGATAAAAAAGAGAAATTTAAAAAAGTCAATGGAGGCTGAAACTACAACCTTCCAATTTTGGTGTGATCGGGCCCTAAATCAAATTCACTGCACATCAAATCCAAATTAAAAAGCTCCTACCTTATTTAGGGCCCATTCGCACCAAAATTGGATCAAAAACGTAAGTCAGTGGAAGTCTGTTGACTTGCAATTTTAACCTCAGTTGACTTTCACAGCGTTGTGTTTTTTCTTTTTTGACAATCTTTATTTTGATGAACATGTCCTGAGTAGACAAATTCCAATGCACTTTTTTTTTTCACTGAGTTTTGTCGCATTGACATCCGTTTTTGGCGCATTGCGTTACATTTAGCTGGAAAAAAAAGTACTTTTTTTCACAGCACAATGCAGCATGTGTGAACTGGTCCCATTCACACCCATACATTTTTTGGGTTATCTTCCACTGCCATCCGTTGAAAGCCGGATGCAAATGGATTTGGTGTGAATGGGACATTAAATAGTTGCAAGCAGACCTATGCATACCTTTCCTTTATGCCCCTGTGGCTAACTGTAAATCTAAAACTTCTGTGCATAGCAATGTATTCTAACTTTTAACTTGAATATAACTGTGTCTATAATGTCAGGGTTGGACAATACCTTGTTCTGCCATTAAGTCAGCTTACTCTTGTTGTAATTTTAAGTAACTTGTCCTAAATGTCTTTTAGTTTATTACATTGAAATTAAAGGAAGCTTCGGCCGTTCCTTCGGCTGGCTTCGGCCCCAGGACCCCTTCGGTTCAGGAGAACCGAAGGGGTGCTGTACGGGCTATTCACAATAGCCTGTACAGCTCCCGATTACGGCCGAGCAGCTCAGTCGAGCGCTGAGCCGTGCTGAAAGCCGAAGCTGGCCACCGTACCAGCCTGAAGTGAATAGCCGAACAGTGTTCGGCTCACTTCACTTCTGATCGGTCATTCACTCGGCTGCCCTCGGCAGCTTTGTGAATAGACCCCATAGTATATAGTATGTATTTCATACAATAACATTTAATTTGCTGATTGTTATTATCACCACTGTTTGGCATGAAATATTTGGCCGGCGTCATGACATATTATACAGGGACATTTTTCTGTTAAAGTGTATATCAGCACAAAATAAGAAAAGAATATGTGCAGTACATCTCTGCAATACATTGCATTTGCCCACATGTTATCCCTTTAAAGACTCTGGAAGAACAGAAAAATACCATGTGAACATATTTGGTGGGCTGAGGAAATATCACATTTTTTGTGGACTGAAAGGTGTCAGCCTTGCCCAGTTGTCTTTTGCTAAACTACTGAATCCCTCCCACTCTCCCCGTCTACCCATTATATGATCTATGGTCAGTGGTGTATTTATGTATTTGGCTGCCCTAGGCAAGCCAAGCTTCGGCCGCCCTCGGCACCTTACTAGCAGAATCCCATCTGTCGGCTGCGCTGTCCGGCTCCATCCGTCCTCCCACCCTCTTCACAAGCAGGCAAGCCGCCCTCCACTCCTACACACAGACGGGCTCCGGCTCGCCCCTCCTCTTCACAACATAGACGTTTGACTACGGCCGCCCCCCAGGAAGGTGCCGCCCTAGGCAAACGCCTACTTTGCCTCGCGGTAAATACGCCCCTGTCTATGGTGTAAGGTAACAACTTGGAGGGCTAATTAGGCTTCCTGAGATAACAAAACATGCACAATGGTATATTTAACAGAACAAAAGGGAGTGACAAATTGAAGTGCATCATACAGTTTAAACTCCTTAGATTACTGAATCGACCAAGAGCAGATTTGTTTCTAGTCACGTCTGGCCAGTCTTATAGGAACACTCACAGCCAAAATTGAAAACTTTATCTTGATGTGCATATGGGAAACACAACCTGTCAGCTAGTAGTTCAGTTTTTCACACAAACATACTGTACCTGTAGTGCATCGGTCCACCCCACTCCCCTTTGTAATGTGGTGACCTCAGAAAGCACCTGCTGCTGATGCTGAAACACCTGCAATTCCAGTATTAAAGATTCTCAAATGCATCAATTTGATTAGATCTGACTCGGAGGATTGTTCCTGAAGATGCAGGAAGTAAAGAGTTTTACAGAGCACAAATCCCACTCCTACCTCTACTATACCACTACCTTCTACAGAGCAATGGCTACAGAGAACTCAAACAACATACTTTGAGAGCAGCAGTCATCATATATCCATATCTGACACCACTCTTCGATGATACAGGAGCAGATATACTGTAGTTGACCCACAATGGTCAATTTCATAGTGTGGGGGTGTTAGATTGGCAGCGGGTGTGTGTGACCCCCTGGATGGGTTCACACCACAGAAATTAGGCACAGCAAACAAGGATTTCTTCTGGTGAAACACACGTGCAGTTTATTTATAACTAGTTACAAGAAAATTTGAGCAAAACAAACAAAACGTGACAATAAATCCTGGCCTGTTGGCCACTTACTACATACACAGTATCCCTCACTACCAACTAGGTGCAACCTTGTGCTGCCCCTAGCACCTATCTCCCTATTCAATCAAGTGCTACACAGGCTGTGTCTCACCACACGAGATTTGTTTCCCTTTGTCACCACACAGGTCAGTAAACAGCTCCCCAGTCTACTCGGGCATGAAACTGGTTCCAGGGTGGAGCAAATCTCTGAGCAGTCTGGGAGTTCTTATAGAGGCCCTAATGAGCCAGTTTACTTCAGCTAGGCTCATTATCTCTACCATTCCAGCCTCTGCATATGACCTGAACCTGGGACACACATATATGCCATCCTGGATACACCCAGGCGATTTCACCTGCCTGCTGTCACAATACCATACACTGAAGAATTTCTTTTAGGTCAGGTCTGCCATTATAAATTTCTAGCTTGGCCAGGTTTACTATTAATTCAATTGTTGTGTTTGTTACATCTCTGCCTCTCTCATATATACAGTGTGTATATATATATAGTATATCTGTGTGTGTGTATAACAAAACAAAACATTACCACCTACCTCTGTCAGGTTGATAGCAAAGAGGATGTCTTTTACTGAACATGATAATAAATCATAATTCACACATTAATCTTAGTTAAAATGTATCTGCCACACAGTGTTGACAAATCCAACATTAATAGCACAGCTTGAATAAAAACAAACCCCAGCATACCTTTCTTCGCTTTTTTAAGAACATTTTAAAATGAGTTATAATACATTGATTTCCCTTCTTTTTCTTGTAAAAAGTGTTTAATCCCAATTTCAGAAGAGCTTTAAAACAAACCTGTACTTTGTCCATTTAGGGCAAAGCAACAGGTTTTATTATATCCCCCTATCCACAGCTCCTTTCACTTATGAAGAAGTAAATGCCCAATACTTCCAGGTATGGAGGACAATGTTAATAACCCCATGTGACAGTGCTGGGCCAATTAGAGAATCCACGTCCTTGTCTAAGCTATGACTCCAACAATTTATAGTTTACAAAGGCTGATCTATAAAAAAAAACACCGCTTACACTATTCTAATTCAGGGAGTATCTGTTCTGTATATACTGGTCACCACTCATTTTGGCTAGTAACCCATTATGCCCTGCCACATGATAGAAAGTAAAGTTGGCTTCTGATTAGTCAGTGTTGGCTTTCATTCAGAAGCCACTGTACTGTCATTCACTTCTTGTTATAAGAGATGCAGTACACAGTGGAGGATATACAGTATAGCCTTCCTCTGCATCAGGTTTTGACAGCTATTGGGATGGCTTATAGGTCAGGATTCCAGATCAAGAGGGGTGGGGGAGAAAGAGAGGGAGCAGTGACAAGGTATCTTGTCTTCTATATGGCTTTAAGGCACCTTTTTTGTCATGTCTGTCCTCCTAGAAGTGTGCTTCCATTTTAGCAGCGTAGCATCCCTCTGGTAAGACTCTACTCCCTGGTAATCTTCAACCCAATGAGTTGACAACAATTTACATCTTCATCCATGTAACCTGAACAATTAACACACATTCCAGACTTCATAGTGATGGGACTTTGTAATTAGAACATGGTGATTTATACACTTTCACACCTCCCATTATGTTCTTAAACAATAGGCATCTAACTAGAAACATCTAATGACACCATGGTGATTGGATTAAGGTAACTGAGTTACATATGGCTTTAAATGCTAGCTATGTTGCTGACACTATTTGGATCTGGAGATGCCCCTTGAATGGTGAAATGTCTTTTTTTAAATCATTTTAGAACAAATCAATTTAAATGAGACTGAATAGCTATACTAGCTATATGAGATATGAGACTAGCTATACCAATACTTGGATAAAGAAAACCTTAACCTTCACAGACACAGAGTTTGTAATTGTAGGTACGGTAGGTAGTATTGTATATTTGTATACAGTGGTATGACTATGTAAATTTTCTCCACAGCGCTCTGCACAGAAGAATGTGTCCATGGCCGCTGCGTGTCCCCTGATACCTGCCATTGTGAACCTGGTTGGGGTGGAGCAGACTGTTCTAGTGGTGAGTACCTAGAAGCATTGCTTACTGGTGCTGAAATAGCCTTCAGCAAATGCGATAAGCCGAAGAATGAGCAGAGCCAATCCAGTTGTTTTGGGCTATGTACAGGTCAGGATTTCCAGCAGTTGCAATCACTTTAGCTACCGGGTTAAAGCTGACTTATTTATTATTGCCAGTTATGGTGTTGATGGGCTGCTTACAAGCCATAATTCTTGGGCAGACATTTAGTGTTTGCTTAGATATTTTCCAGTATGACCAATGTCTTTTGAGCACACAAATGGCCATAAAAGGGAGTAATATAAACATTTGGTAACAATTGCACTGCCACCAGTGCATGTCTAAGGATCTCGCTGCAGCTTTGAGACAATAATTGTGGAAGGCCAGGTAAGCATTAGTTATATCTGCTTTATTAGCAAAGATGAATAGAATAGCATACAGAAAAATCCAACCCACTGGATCATTAGCAATGCTGGCACTAGTTTCACCACAGATGACTTGTGTGGTCATTTCTATTATACACAAAATTAGACTATTGAGAGCACCAAAAATGATGGTGCCATACATATCTATTCTTCTATGGCAGGCAAGTGGAATGGGTCAATCTGCAGTTGTTACCAAGTAACAGAACCTCTAAGTGCATGTACTTGAAAAGCTTTCCACTAATGATTCAGCTGATTGGTATATTTATTGTAATCATTTACAGATCTATTCACTAAAGGGTGAAGAGTTTGGAGAAGGCAGGAGAAGTGAACAATCTAGGCCAAAATAGCTGGTTTGGAAACATTCTTCAATTCAGTTCCCTTTTCCAGTTCAGCTGTGTTCTCCTAGATTGTTCACTTCTCCTGCCTTCTCCAAACTCTTCACCCTTTAGTGAACAGACCTGTTAGTGTTGCAGCCCCCTTGCATGTGAGAGCCTTAATGAGAAAGATTTTACAGAATGTGGGAAAATGAGTTAAGTATTTTTTTCATGGAAATGCACGTAGTCCTTCCATTGAGTGTGCACCAGGGTTTAGTTTTGCCCAAATTAGGAAAGACAATTAGGTCTTGTGATGCAGTGATCTTAGTGATGACAGGTAGATATTCCATTATAGATCTGACCATCTTTGGCTTTGACATTGCTAAAGTTGTATTTGTATTGTCTAATGAACCTGTGAACTTAAAACCGCTGTCGTTTTTGTATGTGTCTATACGGTATTAAGGCTAGACCTGCTTTTGTTTGAAGATCTCAGTTGTCTTTTATGCAGTTTTATGTAATAGCTGGTATCATGTTTTTTTTTAACCTCTTTTTAGGCCAATTTTAAATTGAAAGCCTCTTGACTGCAGTTGTTGTTTCCTGGTGTGTAATAGATTTGTTGAAAGCAAACATTGTATAGTGTCCTCCTTTTATTGTGTTGTTGGCTTGCTCTCTGAAGTCCATTCTGCTGCTTTACATTGCCCATCACAGTTCTTTCTATGGCAAAATATTTGTTTTGATTAATGTATTTTACTCAGTATGAAAATAGAATGAATTGTAATACCAGGATTAATTGTTGGCCTGGGAGTACTTGGATGGATACGGTTAGTCTGCAGTTCACATCCTTATTTCATGCATTATCAATATCGTGCTGTTATCTATCAATAGGTGACAACATGAAGACTGCCAAGTAGTAGGAAAATATACAATGTATTGTTTTTAATTCCTGTGGCTTTTAAAGATTTCAGCCAACATGCCTCACTTTAAATTACATTCATGAATATATATTTGGTGCATCTATTTACCCTTGTGTATAACTTGGTGTGTAACTGTGCTGTATTGCACTACCACTTTAGATTTTAGGCAGCACTGGGTTACATGTTGTATTATTGCAACATTTGTTTTGTGGATCTTCCATTTTGTATGCATAGAGCTAATCCTACCTATTTCAGTGCACCTTCAGTGTCACCTACAACACAGGTAGAGAAAGTATGGTTTTCTCTACCTCCTCCCGTCCTCTCTCTCTTTCTGTAGGGGTCACCCAAAGGTTCTGTCCTCGGACCTCTTCTATATACACTTCCTCCATAGGTCAGCTGATAACCTCCCACAGCTTCCAATACCATTTCTACACTGACGACACCTAAATCTTTCTCTTTATCTGACTTTTCTTAATCATACAGTACAGGACACAGGACTTCAGTTTTAGACCAGGTGTTATATGCAGCTTTCTTTAGGTGATTGGACACTGCCATCATAGTTGTTAGGACAGCCCACTATAACCCCGCCCACTCTCAGCAAGCTTTAGTTTTTTGCTACTGTCCTTAGGTGATGGATTGGCTTTCTCTACCCCCTCTCCTCCTCTCCCTCTTTCTTTAGGGGTCTCCAAGGCTCTGTCCTTTGGCCCCTTCTATTGTCTATCCACACCCCCTCCCTGGGGCAGATCATAACTTCCCACAGGTTCAAATACCATCTCTATACTGACAATACCCAAATCTATCACTCTACTTCTCAGCTCACCCCTTCATTCTCCTCACACCTCACTTTAAACATTTACTCATTGACATATCAGTGTGGCTGTCACACCACTTCCTCGAAGGTAGACTTTTAAAAACTGATTTTATAATATTTCCTCTCCCAGTGTTCCCTCCACTGACTCCTCCATTGAGATCTATAGCACAACTATCAGTCCTTCCAATCATGCCAGGATGCTCAGTGTAATTGTGTGCTCTGACCACTGCTTCAGGCCCTGCATCCAATCACTGTTCAAATCTTGCTGCCTTAGCTCTGTTACATTTGCAAAATTTTCTCACCTCATATATTACAATCCACTCCTCATTGGCCTACCTTTATGCAGCTCATTCCCCCTTTAGTACAATATAAATGCTGATGCTAGGTTCATTCACTTTACCATACGTTTAGTGGCCACCACCTCTCTCTGCCAATCCCTCCACTGGCTTCCAATAGCTCAACGTGTAAAAGTCAACATACACACAGCATACAAAGCCATCCACAATTCTGATCCCAGCTACATCACTAACCCCATATCAAAATATTACCTAAACCATCCTTTTCCATACCCAAGACCTCTAGCTTTCCCATCACTTCCCATGCTCGCGTACAGGACTTCTTCAGAGCCTCTCCCATCCTCAGGAACACCCTACCTGATCTGTCTGGCTATCTTTCACCCTGACTGACCGGAAGGCAATCCCTGAACTCATCTCTTCAGTGAAGCATATCCCGTCTCCTAAAAAGTGTACTTCTAATCCCTCTATCAGATCATCCTTCATATTTATTACCTTTTAAATCACTTTGAGATTGTAAACTCTCACAAGCCCTCCTAATCCTCCTGTATGGCATTGTATTGCAAATGTACTGTCTTCTGTTGTTTTGTAAAGCACTGTGCAAACTGTTGGCGCTATATGATTTCTGTTTAAAAGTAATAATAATCCTCTTCTAAAAAAAATCAATGGTGATTGTTTTAAAAAAATATGCCTCTCTGTACACAAAATGTTAAACCATTCACCAGAGTTTCTGAACCAGAGGAGCTTACCCTATAAAGTCCCCACGATAGTCATATCTACTGTTTTTATTACTATCTGTAGCGTTATTATTATTATTAATATGTTATATAAATCCAACATTTCTACAACTCTGTACAGAAGAAGTTAAACCATTTACTAGTGCACAATCTAACTTCCATATTACAGTCTTTCAAATACTCCAGTCTGTAGAATTTAAATTTGTACAGATGGGGCTCTCACTCCTTTCATAGTTGGTTTATGTCGTATTTGCTTTGCAAATATATGCACTTGTTAGAGTATATCTTATGTAGCAGTATCATTTACAGTTGTTTGTAATTCTTACTTTTGCACAATACCACAGGAGATGATAATGCTGTATAAATCAGTATTAATAATAATAGCATCAGTGAAGGCATACACATGTTCATCAATCATTTTTTTCAAGGATTTACTTTAAATGCACATTTATAATTGGTAAATGTTGGTTTTGAGAAATTTGTAATTGAATTATCATAATCAAGCCCATGGTTAACGTTTATTGTAGAATTAGGAAATACACGTGTGATTTTTTAATTTTCTAGGTGATAATGTAGCAGGCTAATATATGCTAGGGGAAGCAAATAGTTGTGAATGTCAGTGTACAGGTTAAAGCTGTTATCTGGGCATAAACAAAACAAAATAAATGAAGTATGTGCCCCAACCTATTTGTTGGGTAATTTGTTCATGCAGCCGCCAGCCTCTTTTAGTTATAATGTATCAGGAAATACTGCTCAGTAACTGTCGAAGCAGCTGAATATCCTATTAAGTAGACCAATCACCCAGGCTGGCTACCTATGCGCTGGTATGTTCTGGTCTCCTCAATGCACCCTAACTGCCATCCCACATAGGGTGCCTTGCAGAATCATCCTTGTTGCCCCACTAGAAGGCAGGGATCGGGGTGCTGGAAGGTGACATCACCCACGCATCAGTAAGGTATTTCTATAGACAGAAAATAGGTTTAAAAAAATAATGTGTGTGTGTGTGTGGGGGGGGGGGGGTAGTAGGGCTGTAAAATTGACTAGTCAGACAGGAAATTACTACTAAGGCTAGGCTCAGGGTAGTAAAATGGCCTTTCTTAACCATACAGTGCAGGGCACAGGATTTCAGTGTTAGACCATGTGCAACAATGTTGTTAGGACAGCCTGATATAACCGCAAGCCTCAGTTTTTTGCTTCTGTCCTTAAGTGATGGATTTCCTCTATCTACTGAGAGGGAGTATGGCTTTCTACCAGTAAAAAAATATTTTTTTCTTATTCTTCACGCTTTTGCTGCACTATAGTCACTGGGCTGTGGGATGCAGAATCCCTTTGCAGGCTTTTGGATCAGCGCCCCTCGTCCTAGCGCTTTGGGGGCTCTACTCATTCCCCGCCATCTGAAGAATTGGGCCTTTAATGTTGCTTTGGGCAGTGGACTTTGCATTTGTCACTCACCTTGGCACTGCAGTGCAATGTGTTGAGTTGCCGCAGGGTGCTATAAGGTCCAGGGCCGTG